TAGAAACAAAGAATTTTCTATGTCGAGTCCCTCCTCTCTTGACGATACTCTTCTTTACGACTGAGCTGCTCCCTTGGCGGATCGTCCCCGTTTTACCTCCTGTGATTTTCCCGGGCCTTTGTCGGGTCCCACTGCCCCTTTGTCTCTCGATCCCCTTCTTTCAGCGCGTGGAGCTGGGGTCCGGATTCCCGTCTCCCGCCTGGTGCCGCGACACTGGCAGCTGGATGCCCTCCCGGCGGTGCGCTCTCGCTTTTGAGAGAACTGGACAGAAAGTAGGGCGCAGATCCTCCCCACCCACCGACACCCCACACCTCCTCCCTCTGCAACCCAGGCGCGGCCCCTGAGAAAGGGAAGACTGCTTGGAAGGAACCTTAACAATTACACTGAATTCATTCATTCATTCATCCACCTAGTCATTCAATGTACATGGCAGCACCTGGGAGAGTCCACTAAATCAAGGTGGACTCGGGTTTTTTGCCCTCCCGCAACTTACATTCACATGGGGACACAGACCATAAACAAACAAGTACAGAATCAAGACCATTTCAGAAAGTTATAATAATTACTGTGGAGGGGGAATTATGTGCTGTGGCAAGGGGACAGTGACCTTAGCCAGTGTAGTCAGGGAAGACCTCTCTGAGGAGGTGGCACCTGCATTATGAGAAAGCTCCATTGCTGGTGCTATCTGCGGGAGGAGAGTTCAGGGATCTCCTTGCACCCATTTTACACACAGGGAAACTGAGGTCCCTAAACTTAATTGGCTTACCCAAAGTCAGTGGTATAATCCCCTCTACACACACCCCCAAATTCAGGCACCCACTTACTCATCCTCTCATGGCCACCTCTTTCAATCTTCCCCACAATAAACGGTCTTGAGCAGAGTCTATGTGGCATTTTTCTCCCTCACACCCGCTTTCTAATGTCTATGAACCCTGTTGTGGGACACTCAGGAGACCTCAAGCACTGCCAACAGGATGCTTCAATCACTGCCAACAATACCGATCACTGCCACTGGTTAAACTCAATAGATTACAGATGCCCCGATGAATCTGGATTTCACAGAAACAAGGAATGAATTTTAGTATATGTCCTATGCAATAGGTGGTACATACACTAAAAAAGTATTCGCTGTTTCTCTGAAGTTAAATTTACCTGGGTGTCTTATTTTTATTTGCTAAATCTGGCAACTCTAAGCCCTGCTCTTTTGTATTTCCTTTAATCTCCCAAAGAGATTGGAAGGTGGAAGCTGCTAGCATGCCCCTTTTACAAATGATCAAGTCTACGTTCAAAGAAGGCAGAAAGCAGCTGAGCCAGGGCTGAAATTCAGGTCCAGCTGACTCCAGAGCTCTTGATTTTGAGATAATGACATAGAGCCTGTTGTAGGGTTACTGGGAAGCTGATGAAACTTAAGCTCCTGCCCCCTCGCTTGCTGGGCTCCTTTCTAAGGCCTGGGTAGCAGCCTAGAAATGTGTTCACATGGTCACTTGTTCATGTAAGATTAACAAAAATCATTTGCTTTTGACATTTAACAGCAATCAGCAGAAACCACCATCTCTTTCCACTTAGATTCCCCACCAGAGCACTTGACCTTGAGTAGGGTGAGGTGAACTGGCCACTGGCATTCTGGGGATCCAGTGAAGGGAAAGTTGATTTGAGACTTTGTGATGTGTGTGGTATCTTTCAGCTTCTTAAAATCTGAATTTGTTGTGATTTCTTTTAATTCCAAGAAATATTTACTTTTGTCCCTTAATTTTGGACTCATAATTTTGTATTCTTTTTCTTAAATAAGACCCCCAAATTGTGTATGCAGCAGGCCCCATGTACCTGGATCCACCTCTGGTCATAGCTTATTCCAACCTCCTTCTACTCCCAAAACTTCAGACAAGCAAATGTATTCAGTAAGCACCGTTGTTCTCCCGCGGGCCGGGTGAGGGTTAGACCTGCTGCTTCTGGGTAAAAATGATTCTTCTGCTTTCTAGATGCAGCATGGACATAGGCACTTGGCCTTGATTTCCTCACCTCTACATGAAGATAACAGTACTCATCTTGTGTTTTTATTGTGACAATTCACTGAGATCATGCTCGTAAAACACTTTCTACTATGACTATTACTGGCACTAGCAATTGCTCAACAAATATTATGACTGTACATGCAACTTCACTTCCCAGCACACCTTTGCAAAAAGCTCCAAGTCATTATCAATGGAGCGCCTTAATGCTCTCCCGAGGTGTTTAATTTATTTTGGCCCATGAACCTTAATATAATGTTGTTTAAAGAGTGTTAGTAGGCAGAATTTTTTTTTCCCCTTGAAGGAATAGAATGGAAGAGACTGGAATAGAAAATACCAAATGAATTGCATGCAATAAGAGTAAGTGGTAAGTGTGTGTGTGTGTGTGTGTGTGTGTGTGTGAGAGAGAGAGAGAGGGGGGGGGGAGAGAGAGAGAGGAGAGAGAGAGAGAGAGAGAGAGAGAGAGAGAGAGAGAGAGAGAATGAATACTGGGTCAGGATGGGAAATGTGTTTCTTTGGAGAGAGAGAGAGAGAGAGAGAGAGAGAGAGAGAGAGAGAGAGAGAATGAATACTGGGTCAGGATGGGAAATGTGTTTCTTTGCAGATCATGGGGACAATGTTGAAGATGACTTGTTAACTAAGGGTGCTCTACGGAATACAAAGGGTCAGTGGGTTTCCGCCCAACCATTTTACTGGCTCATTATCTCATACATCACAACCACACCCCGCAGTCCCCTGAGAGATCTCCAGGAGGCAGGTGCTTATTAGTTTTATTTTTCCTTCTCTTAGGGCAGTGGTTCTCAACCCCGGCTGCACATTACAATCTCCAGGGCAGCTTTTAAAAGTCCCCATCCTGGGGCCCCACCCCAGACCAATTAAACCAGACTCGGGGAGGGACCGAGGCATCCGTATTTTGTAAAGCTCCCCTGGTGATTCCAGTGTGGAGCAGAGAGAGAGTGAGACGCCCTGTCTTTGGAAAAATAAGGACTTGACCCCAGAATCACAGCAGATGAGGGAGAAGCTGAGATAAGACTTCAGGCTCTCAATTCTTCCTCAAGACATGGAAATCCATCCACCTTCCTAGGTAGGAGTGCCCCCTTCCCATCTCTTTCTTTCCCTTGATTTCTTCTTAAGTATTTGGGCTCATTTTATAATGACCAGCATCATAATCCCAGACAAAAACTGAAAATGCTAAACCATGAAGCAGATTCTTTGGAGGGTAGACCACAGACACGCCCACCCTGGAATAAAACACTTTTTTCCCCCGAGAGTCTTCCAAGTAAATGTCCTCTGAAGCCAGAAGACCAGCCTGCCCTTGAACACTACAAACTTCACAATATATCCAACATGCATACACACATCTCACAAGCACACGTATGTATTCTCCATGCCAAATCATGCTTTACTTCTATACACATTTCTTTCCCGATGTGCAGAGAATGGAGCTACAGAAAAAGCGCTCCATTTTAAACATTCTTTTATTTAAGTATTGACTCTTTTCAAAACAGATTTGAGGCAGCATGCAAAAACATATATATGGCAACAGGGAAAAGAACACAAGAAAACCAGTGAAGGAATGTCGGGAGGAAAAGAGGTGAAAACAAAGGGTGAGTTTTGACAGAAAATGTGGGCGAGGAGGTCCTGAACACTGGTCAGTGGTGGACTGAGAATTAGCTGCTGAGCCTCCTGGCAGCCAGTGCAAAGCAGAACATGTGATCAATTCCATCAGTGCCTTTCTAACTCTCTTCAAAGGTAAGCGTGTTGCACGCAGTTCAGTAGCATATCCTAAAAGTGGAATGGAACGAAGATCAGCATGGCCGCCGTGCAAGGATGACACACACATCTATGAAGCGTTCCATATTTTTATAGATGAATTGAAAAGAAACAAGATCAAGTATGCATAGAAACTCAGTATGAAAAAGGAGGTGAAGGATCCCATCCCCAACTTCATGCCTCACAGCTTTCTCCTGCAGGTACTTGTAAAGCATTTTAAGTATTTACTTCCATTGTAGGAAAGTATTTGGGGGCTTGGGTCGACGGGTCATACATTATCATTTTTTTCCACTTAAAATCACAGGAAATCAACTCTTGGGCCTATGTTTAGGCAGAGCATCTAATGTCCAGTGGGAGACACTTATTCCCATATGGAGAGGGACCTTCCAGACACCCACACATGCTGTCCCTCGGCCCACACCACCCTACAGACACAGTCCCATGGATTTCACCTTCACTCCACTCAGGTCTCTGTCCATATGTCTCCACCCAGACAGGTCCTTTGGACCACTCTGTCCAAAGCAGCATCCTCAGCCAGCACGTGCATTTATCACTCCACAACACTACATCACACATGGTTATCTGTTCACTGTCTGTCTCTCCCACCAGATATCAGCTCCATGTGAGCAAGGACTTGCCTGTTTTGCTCATGGCTATGCCCCAGTGCCTAGAACAGTGCCTGGTACACAGGGAGGAACTCAATCAATAGTGGACGAATGAAGACAAAATACAAATGGAAGGATACGGCTCTTGCTGTTGCCCCAAATGACCACAGTCACGCTGCCCTTTCTAATTTCCTCTACTGCCTACCCTAAAATAAATAAAAAGGAATAATGGTGACTCAGAAACTCATTCTTTTGAAGAACCACAAAGAGCTCAAGATAAGGTCAAGGTTTTCTTCTCTTTTTCTTTTATGCTCTCTCTTTCTACTTGTTCTTCAGCAAAGAGCTTGAGGACTCAAAGATGGGGAATGGAGAGTAACCCAGATGGCTAAAGTCCATTCTTCCCTCAGGGACTAGTTAGGAGGCAACAGAAGTTGCCAAATGAGAGGAGAATGAGATAAAGCTCTTGCCGGTTGATGGTAAAATCCAACATGGAACAACAGCCTTTTTTTTTTTTTTAAATATATTTTATTGATTTTTTACAGAGAGAAAGGGAGAGGGACAGAGAGTTAGAAACATCGATGAGAGAGAAACATCGATCAGCTGCCTCCTGCACACTCCCCACTGGGGATGTGCCCGCAACCAAGGCACATGCCCCTGACCGGAATCGAACCTGGGACCCTTGAGTCCGCAGGCTGACGCTCCATGGTAAAATCCAACATGGAACAACAGCCTTTATGTAACTGCCCAGATCCTATAGTTATGAACAACTTTCCAATAGATCTGTATGTGAAGAGCACTCATACCACTCCAAGCAGATTCTTGCAGCCAAGCTGGGGTCAGGCTGGCTTTTCAATATTAATCCCCAGAATTTCTACCCCTCACCTCTTTGGCATTTCCTTCCAAGACATGCCACTTTTTGCTTTCTTTTTTCCTTAAGGAGAAAAAGCATATAGGATGGCTTTTAAATACATTTTCTTGTTGCTTTTAGTTGAATAGTATCTTTGATGGTGAACAAAGCTGACTGGTCTTCAGAGGAATGATCTTGGAAACACTGACTGAGAGACATCAGAGGTTTCCAGGATCCAACCGATAGTTCTAAATTCTGAAAGAAGTTGTGCCCTGGAGACATAGGGAGTATTCGAAGAGATTACAGAATTCCCTCAAGGTCAAGATGGCAGAGTAAGTAAACACTGTGCCAACCTGCTCCCATGACCACATCAAAATGACAACTAAATTAGAGAACAACTTCCTTGAGAACCACCTGAAGTCTAGCTAAACAGAAGTCCTGTAACTAAGGATATAAAGAAGAAGCCACCCTGAGACTGATGGGAGGGGCAGAGGTGTGAAATGGGCTGGTCCCATACCCAAGTGTGGCGGTTAAGAAACCTGAGGGAGGTCTTGACTGGAAGTACCCCTGAGGAGCGAGGGATCCAGCCCCACACTGGGCTCCCCAGCCAGGGGCACCAGAACCAGGAAGTCGGGAGTCCCCATAACATCTGGCTGCCAAAGACAGCCAGGATTGCACCCCAGGGAGGTGGAGGCCACCGTAGTACCAAGCATTCCTCTTGAGGAGTTTGCCAATTGACTCATTTGCTCTGAGCTCCAGTGCCGGTTTAGCAGCTCAAAAAGTGCCAGGGACATATGGGGAAGAACTAAATTGACTGGCTGTAGGAGGAGGGCTGGAGGGGCAGGACTCAGGGCCGCTCTCTCTGGTGACAGAAGCATGGGCCAGTGCTGTCGCTTCTTTGTTCAGCCCTTCCCCCATCTAGCCACAGGTTCAGGTGGGCCCCAAATCTGAGCTCTCCGTTAACCAAAGATCTAGAGACCTTTGGAGAGTGGAACATTTTGAGAGTGAAAGGGATACTGTTAATAATAAAGCATAAACCAGGACTGTCCCAGGCAAACAAGGACAGATAGCCACCCTGCCTAAGCAGAATGATTTACTAGTAGATATGTCCTGAGAAGCAAAGACGTCGCAGATTTAATCAAGTAATCACATGGGAGACAGTTGCAAACCTTCATGAGTAGATGAGGGGCTGCGAGCGGCCCTTCTTGCCATTATGAAATTGACATAACAGTTCTCGTTATGGTTCAGGGGATCTCATCCACATCTCTGACAATCCTTGAGTGCCCTGAACCAAATCGCTGGTTGTTACGCAACCTCATCATACTGAGAAATGGTTTCCCCAAACCCATGGGATGATATGATGGATTCCTACATGGATATTGAAAACACTTTCCCTGGATGTCTGCAGTTGCTTATCTCTACTCTGCTGGAATCTCTAGAAGATGTGCCAGGGACCTCTTTGGCAGTTTGGTGAAGTCTAAGGACATCATCTGAAAACAATGTTGCTAAATACACAAAAATGCATGTAATGTACACATGGTGGGAAAACTGAACATCGATAAGAAAAAAATTATCATAGATTCTTACCTCATGTAATACACAAATATTAACCCAGAATGAATTACAGACCTAAAGGTAAAGCCTAAAACCATAAACTTTCTAGAAAATAACATGGGAGAAAATTGTTGAAACCTTGGCGTAGGTTAGGTTTCTTATAACACAAAAAGTACAAACATTGAAAGAAAACATTGATAAATTAGACTTCAACATAATTTAAAACTTTTGCTTGTTAAAAGACAAAATTGAGAAAATAGAAGGCAAGCTATAGACTGGGAGAAATGCAAAACATCTATCAGACAGATATAAAAACATATAAGAAATGTATAACAAATATATGAACATATTTTACAACTCAATAGTAATACAACAAATAACTCAATGTTTTAAAAGGGCAAAAATTTTGAACCATTGCTTCAAAAAGGAAGATATACAGATGGCCAATAGGCACATAAAAGATGCTCAACATCATCAGTCATCAGGGAAATGCAAATTAAACTATAATGAAATACCATTATATCCATTAGATTGGCTAAAATTACAAAGACTGAATGGAGCAAGTGTTGACAAGGATGTGGAGCAACTAGCCTCTCATATGCTGCTGGTGGGAATATAAAATGGTACAACCAATTTGGAAAATAGTTTGGCAGTTTCTTAAAAAGTTAAAAATTCCCCTACCATATGACCCAGCCATTTGACACCCAAGAGAAAGGAAAGCATAAGTCAGCACAAAGGTTTGTATATGAATGTTAATAGCAAGTTTATTTATAACAGCTAAAAATTAGAAACATTGCAAATGTTCATCAGCAGGTAAATGATAAACAAATTGTGGTAGATCTATACAATGGGTTACTACTCTGCAACAAAAAGGAATAAAAGCGATATACACTCAGCATGAATGTCAAAATCATTATGATGAGTGAGAAGACGCCCTCAACCCTCCCCTCTTTCCCCAAGAATCATAATGCATGATTTCATTTATGTAAAATTCTCAAAAATGCAAACTCATTTATAGTGACAGAAAACAAAGCGATGGTCACCCATGGATGGGTGTGGTAGAAGGGTGGATTATAGAGGGGCACAAAGAAATGTTGGGGGTGGGGGGAAAGTTTAGTGCCTTGATTGTGGGGATGGTTTCATGATATATATGTAAAAAATGATAAAATTTAACACTTTAAAAACTTCCAGTTTATTATGCTTCAATTAAACCTCAAAAAATATTAAAATATTGTATTATAGTCATGAATTTCCTTTTTTTTTCTGCAAAAAGCTTTATTTTTTCATTTGGTCCAATGCGTGGGAGAGGGCTTCAGGGTGGTTAAAAGAGTGGCTAGTAGTTTCAGGGAGAGGCTCAGGTAAAAGCCAGACACAGGGGATGCGGAGGGGCCTCGCAAAGGCCTCTGGGCTCCAAAGGCTCCTGGTCGTGCTGGAGGGTGAGCCTTTCCAAGAGATCCTCGCCCAGCCCAGCCTGGGGCCGCAGCCTGTGGATGTGACTCAGGTGTGGCCCATCTTCTTGATGAGTTTCACCTCCTCACCTGGAAGTGGTTCTGCAGGATGAGGGGCTGCGCTGGTAGAACCCAGGGCCTGCAGCTCCTAAAGGGCCTGGTTCAGGTGCCTCTCCAAGGCCAGGCGGCTGCCATGGCGTCCTGAGTTTTGCCCACTCGTCTTGGGGAGGCTTCAGTGTGTCCTGGAAGAGAAGGTGGCCACCGCGCTGGTTTTGCAACTTTAAGAGACATTCAGAGCCCTGCACTTCTCCCCCAACTCACAGAAGAAGTGGCCCCCGCCCTCGAGAGCCACATCATCTGGGTTGAAACAGAAGCCAAGAGAGAGGTAGGTGCAGGCGGCCGGAAGATGCAGGCTGGCCAGGCAATTGACTGAAGCCTCCACCTCAGTGGAATAATTCTGCCGAATTTGGGAGCTCATGGTTTTTCAGCAATAAGGAGTTAAGGTAGGAAAGAAACCTGTGTGTTGGCTGGTCCTGGAGGTGATTCTGAAGGTGGTGACTGGATGAGACGCAGGAGAGAGGCCTGAGGCAGGAAGAAGGGGCGTCCCTGGGTCTGTTCTGTCCAAACACTGTTGAAGCAAGACACAGATCTGGGACCACCGAGGGCACTCGTCATGAATTTCTTTATTAATACACTAGGGGCCCAGTGCATGAATTTGTGCACCTTGAAAGGAACTGTGGGCCATGAGGCTGTGGTGGGCATAAGGGTGGGTCTCTGCCCATCCTCTGTGCCCCTGCCCGCCCCTCCCACCATGGCCCCGCTGCCACCGCTCCCATGCACTGACAGCACCGGCCCCACTCACACCTGCTGATGGTGCAGAGCGATTGGGGGCCAGTGCCAGCAGCGGGTGTGAGCAGGACTGGCCCCGTCAGTGGGTGCGAGCAGCGGCTGTTGCCCTGATTGCCCCTCAGGAGCAGGGAGAGGTGGAGAAGCCCTCAGGGGCGATCAGGGCTGCTCATACCCGCTGACTGCGCCAAATGATCAGGACTGGTGCCAGGTGCTGGTAGCAGGTGTGAGCAGGGCTGGCGCCAGCAGCAGGTGCAAGTGACCAGTGGGACCGCGGCACGAGAAAGCAAAGAATTTTCAGTAACAACCAGAGGCTCGCCCTGATGACAGCAACCAGCATCCCGCCTTGGTCTGGAGCCCCTGCTCACCTGCTCCACCATCCTGCCGCTGACAATGCTCACCATGTTCTGCGCTCTGCCACCTGTTGCTGATGCTCACCATGTTCCACATGTGCCCCCTGGTGGTCAACACACGTCATGGCGACCAGTTGTTTGGTTGTTCCACTGTTCGGTCTATTTGCATATTAGGGTTTATATATATAGATTAAATAAACAAGATCTAGCAACAGGCCTAATAGCTTCCATAATTTGGAAATAATGCTGAATATAAAAGATATTTTAGGATATTTGTAACAACCATAATATGATATGAAAATACCTGTGATTTGTATTAAGGACAAGGTCACAGGGCCTGCTAATGCTACTGTGGTTTGTTGCCACATTCATATTTGAAGGGAATGCTACATCCAGTTAGAGGTTGGTGAAAATAAACATCCTTTTTTCCCATCCACATTTACAGAACCCCCTGAATTCTATCCATGGACCCAGGTGAAGAGTTAGAAGCAGCCTCAGCCACCTGAAGGTTATAATATCCCTAGAAGGTAAGTATCTTTATACCCAGGAACATATAGTTAATTATAGAAATGTCCAAAGAAATGTTATCAGTGTGCATATTTTGAGATAAAATTTAGAAATAAATGTGGAAGACTTTGACAGGGTCAAAAACCATGATATTAATATTTTTGTTAAGAAGGAA